GCCTTGTAATGATGAACTCGAGCTCAAGCAGTCCATTTAGGCCTATTTTTGTTTTACCCCTAAACAATAAAATATTTTTAATTTTTAAATTAAATTTAGACTTTAGATTATATATTTATACGTTAAAATTAAAAAAATAAAACATTATAATATAAAAAAATTAAACTTTTAAAAATCTTAAAAAATATATATATATATATATATATAGGCTTACAAACCTGGCTAGCTTGAGTCGTTTGAATAAGAGCTAGACTTCAAAAATTATTGATTTTGGAATACTTGAGCTTATGGGCTTGAACTCATATGAGGCACGCTTATAAGGGCCCAGCCTGCCTGTTTCCTATCTCTATAGATGACTCTATGAAGACAATCTGACGGCTTGGAGTGCTTCTTCGTACTGAGGTTAACCATGATCATCATGACTATGATCTTATTGTTACAATACTGTAGAATATATCTTGAACAAAGAATGGGCAGTTGTGCTACGTGAGGTTAATCAAGCCACGGACTTTCTAGCCAAATGGGGTCTTTATTCAGTGATGCTGAGCTTTCATGCTGTGAATAAAAATAAACCACGTTCTTCATGAGCTCCAGTGTGTGTGCGCGTGTGTGTGTGTGTGTGTTACAAAGGGAGTGCTTGAAAGATGCTAATGTGTTTGTAACTTAGCCACTCCGTGGCTTCCTTGTTTATTAAAAAAGGAAATGTAGGTCCGTGGAAGGCTAGTAAATATCGATCAACAAGCTGCCAAGAAATGTAGGAAAGTTAATAAAAATAAAAATTAATCACCTATTGCTTGCTTGATTTCTATTTTTAAAAATTATTTTCATTTTCAAGAACAAAAAATTTTAAAAAAACTTGTTTAGATAAGTATTTTGGATTTAAATATTTTCAAAACTATTTTCATTTTTGTTTTTGAAACAAAAGGTGAAAACATCTTAGAGTTTTTTTTTTAATTTTTTTATTTTTAAAGCACACTACATCTGATTATGGTAAACTATTTTCAATTATGGCCAACCACTATTGTAAGTCACCACTATTTTTTTAAATCAGATATAAGAAACTATTATTAACCACTGTGACCACTACTACATGTCATTTTTTAATTTTAAAATTGTTTTCAAATTAAGATAATTAAACAGATTTTTCTTTTTGTTTTGTTTTAAAAATAATTTAAAAAATAGAACAAAATCAAACAAAGCCACCTAGTACAGTTTGCATTTTTCAACAAATTAAAAAATATACACGCCAAAAGGCTCGTTAAGGACAAGATTTAGGAAAATTAGGTCACAAAGACATAATATGTACTGCTAGGGTAATTATGTATTTTTTTCCTAATAAATCAATCATTACAAGGACGCACACATTCCGGTGGACAATGTTTCTGAGGTTGTCTTCTCACGTGTCTATATTTATATATTGCCGAGAGAACTTGCCCTTCTTGCCAATGCTAATCAGGACTGTGTCACGTGCAGCCATAGTTGTCTATAAATTTCTTATGTTTTATTTTTCTGATTGGATTTTGATTTTGTGTTCTCTTCAAAAATGGGAGCTTGAAAGGTACAGAGGGATCAATTCATTTATTCCTCTTATATCACTTCATAAGAGCCTTAATCTCCAGAATTGATCTTGCTGGTGCTCAAGGATGGATGATAATTGTGCTCTGACCTCTATTCTGGGTTTCAACTTCACATGAAAATATCATAAATTTTGTTTTCTTTTATTTTTTTCCTCTTTGTATGGCCCTGGTTTTTCTTTTATCATGAGAAAGTTGGATAGAATCATATGCCTTAAGGGATGTATTTTTAATGTTACAATTAAATATTTTGTGTGCTAGGAACAGCTTAGTTGAGGGGAAGTCATCGGCCTTTTAGCTGAAAATTTCATTACAGAAAACTTTAGGAACATGATTTGGGTTTACCTTGTCTTGGAGACATTTCATCATATCCAATCCCTGTTAATGAAACTCTACCTGGATCTCTAATATGTGATTTCTTAAGTGTCATAAATGTGTATGCATGTGTTTTTCCTTATATCATGCCTACTATATTGTTTCACAAATTATTACATGGCAGGAAAGACAAAGGATTATATATAATGAACAAAAAAAGCTAGCTCGCATCAGGCACAAACAAAATCCGAAATGGCTTGCTATGAGGATGAATTGATAGGGAAGAGGATGCAAGTGTTTTATCTTTTGACTTTCATGTTTAAGTTTGCAATTATATGGAACGATTCTAATTGTTGTAACATTGTTAGGAAGAATATCAAAGAGCCAGGAACCAAAAGCAAGTGAAACAACAATTGAGGAACATATTCAAGCATAATTGAGAAATATATTAGAGGAATGAATCTTTATATTTCACTAATAAAGTATCATCATTGGCTAGCTAAATATATTCTTTAACTTAGCATGAATCCACCTATATGCTCCAAAGTACATATTTTTATGCTTGGGTGAAAATAAATGCATGTATATAATAAATAATGAGTCCAACATATTCTGAAAGTAGACCAAAAAAAAAAAACAAAGGAGAACAATTAACCACAAAAATGATTAGATAAATACAAAAAAGTTCCATTGTTGCATACTTGCATTGTTCTGTGCAAAGACAGGGGAGGGAGAGTGATATAGATTAGGAATGGAATTAATGGCGTTTAACAAGAGTAAACAAGTAAGTTTAAATTTCTAAGATGCACTTTTTAATAAATAAAAATGTATTTTAGAATCATTGATATAGTATTTTTTAAAAGAGTTAAAAATTAAATTTAATCGTGTACTTTCTAAAATTAAGTGATGGCTTATGTAATATTAATAAAATTAAATATAAATGAATATATTTCACTCATTCACTCTAAAAATGAATCATATATAATATGAAAATTTCTAACAATACATATTAAATGAAACGGACTGAAACGGACAACAGAACTAATACACGAGAGTTACAGAATTGAAGCCAAACGTGTTCCGTTACCCTTCATTAAGCCAATAAAACGTTTAGCATTTACATTTGTAACGTTAGCTGATTACTGTTTTCGTTCAGAGTCCTAACACTATAAATAGGACACTCACTTTGTTGTAAGGAGGCAGACTAGAAATAAAATTCAAAGTTTTCTCTTTTCATTCGGTTTCTGTGCCATTTTTGGTATCAGAGCTGGTCCAGAGAACGAGAGAGTGAGTTACAGTTGAGAAAGTACGCCGGAAAGAAGAGAGATTCAGAGGAGGAGTCCCTGACGTCTTCGCGTTTTACAAACCGGGCATTTTCTCAGAAAACTAACATCACCATCGTGCTCAGGAGGTCCGAAAACGTGGAACAAGAGGTTCCCCGTCACCGAAAACAGTCGCACGCGCCTCCACGCGCCACCGTCGTAAACCCATGAGCCTCACCGCCGGTCCACGCGCCGTCACACGCTATCCGAAGGTTGAAGACGCTGACGTCAGCTGCCACGTCATCGTTCTGACCCGGTCAACGACAGGTCAGACCAAATAGTTTTATGCCACGTGTCACAGTCGCCACGTCACTGCGCCCAGTCAGCCAACTTTTCAGAAATTGCATTTTCGCCCCAAATCTTTCAGTAATTCTAAATTTACCCCTATTGTTTATGAAATTTCATATTATCCCCCAAATTTTTCAGAAATTCCATTTTAACCCCTAAACTTTCCTCAAATTACACTTTTGCTCCTTGATTTTACCTGAATTCCAGTTTAACCCCTATATTTTTCATAAATTTCAATTTGACCCATCATTCTTCTAGAATCGCTATTTTACCCCCTAGACAGTCCAAAATCCCCATTTTGCCCCTAGCCTTTGAAAAAAAAAAATTCACTTTACCCCTATATCCTTCAACGTTTCCAATCGCACCCCAATCTTTATCCCTAGCCTTGACACTTATTCAAAATGCCTCCAAGACGTAGACATGTGCACGAGGTTGAGATGGAAGAGTTGAGACGTAGGATACGAGAATTGGAAGCTACTGTGGAATTGCAGCAAACTCTGTTAAACAACAACAGAGAAAATTTAGAGAGAGATTCGGGAAGCAGTAGTTCGTCATCTACTGAAAACCACCGCCGCCCACGACAACAACAATTCCGCCCTAATGACATCAAGGTTGATGTTCCTGAATTCGAGGGAAGGCTCCAGCCAGACGAGTTTGTAGATTGGCTACAAACTGTTGAACGAGTATTTGAATACAAGGAGATTCCAGATGCGCAGAAAGTCAAAATTATCGCCCTCAAACTTAAGAAACATGCTTCTATTTGGTGGGAAAACCTCAGACGGAAAAGCGCAAGATTGAAACCTGGGAGAAAATGAAACGCCAGCTCACCAGGAAATTTTTACCAGATCATTACCACCAGGATAATTTTATCCAGTTGTAAAATCTTCGACAGAGATCTTTATCTGTAAAAGAATATACTAGAGAGTTTGAACAACTCATGATGAAGTGTGATATTCAGGAGAAGGAGGAGCAAACAATAGCCCGGTACCTTGCAGGCTTAAACACAGATATCAGTCGTCCAGTCCAGCTTCAACAATATTGGACCTTGGATGATGTCATCCGTCTGGCCGTGCGTGTTGAGAAGCAGATGCCCAAGAGATCTGCTTTCCAACCTTCATCCTCTAGGAGTTATCCAGAAGGCCGTAAAGCAGAATTTCAGCAGACTAACTCCTCAAGCAAGCCACAACCTACTGCTATGCGCAAACCACCATCCAATGCTGCCAAGGAATCTGGTTCCAAAGCAATCAAATGCTTTAAATGCCAAGGATTTGGCCATATTACTGCGGACTGTCCTACACGAAGGGTTGTCACCATTCGAGAAGGATCAGGGTATGAAGCACTTGAAGAAGGTGAGGAGGACGATGAGTTCTACGGCACTGATCCCGTATATGACGAGGAGGTCACACCTGCTGATCAAGGAGAAGCATTGGTGCTTAGACGAAGTCTGCATACAATAGTAGTCAAAGAAGAACCTTGGTTACGACGCAACATTTTTCACACTCGTTGCACGGCCCAAGGAAAAGTTTGTAATGTCATCATTGACAGTGGAAGCTGTGAAAATGTAGTATCTAACTACATGGTGGAGAAATTGAAGTTGCCAACACAAGATCATCCACAACCTTACAAGCTTCACTGGCTCAACAAAGGGAATGAGGTAAAAGTTTCTAAACAATGCCTTGTGACCTTTTCTATTGGGAATCGATATTGTGATGAAGTTTTATGTAATGTTGTTCCCATGGATGCATGCCACCTTCTCTTGGGGAGGCCATGGCAATATGACCGACATGCTATGCATAACGGGCGAGCGAACACTTATTCTTTTACGAAAGATGGTGTCAAGTTTACACTAGCGCCTCTACCACCCAATGAGATTAGCCAATTTTCAAGGGAATCTAGTGTATCTAAGCCGTTAGTGTCTTTGTTGACTAAGGAGGAATTCAAGGTGTCAAAATCCGAAGCCCAAATGATGAGCATTATTTTGGTGCTTGAGGTGAACGATGAGACGGTCAATCCACCTGGAGTCATTCCGTTATTGTCAGAATTTTCAGATGTAATATCCGGTGAGATACCACCAGGGTTGCCTCCAATGCGAGACATACAGCATGCCATTGACTTCGTTCCAGGAGCAGTCATTCCTAATAAGCCTGCTTATAGGATGAGTCCCCAGGAACATGCCGAAGTCCAACGACAAGTTGAAGAGTTGTTGAAGAAAGGGTTAGTTCGAGAAAGTATCAGCCCTTGTGCTGTACCTGTTCTTCTAGTACCTAAGAAGGATGGGAGTTGGAGAATGTGCATTGACTGCCGAGCCGTCAACAAGATCACTATTAAGTATCGGTTTCCGATACCTCGGCTTGATGATATGCTGGACCAGTTGCATGGTGCCACTACTTTCTCCAAAATTGATCTTCGTAGTGGGTACCATCAAATCAGAATTCGACCAGGAGATGAGTGGAAGACTGCTTTCAAGACCAGAGATGGCTTATATGAGTGGAATGTGATGCCTTTTGGGTTAACAAATGCTCCTAGCACATTTATACGCCTGATGAATCAGTATTGAGACCTTCATTAGTAAATTTATTGTTGTGTACTTTGACGATATTCTTATTTACAGTAAGAATCAAGAGGAGCATTTAGATCACTTGCGGCAAGTTTTGCAAGCCTTGCGTGAGCAGAAGCTTTATGCAAATCTCAAGAAGTGCACCTTCCTCACCAACGAAGTTGTGTTCTTGGGTTACATCATTACCGCGGAAGGTGTTCGCGTTGATCCAAGCAAAGTTGTAGCCATTGACAGTTGGCCAATTCCAAAATCCATCCAGGAGGTTCGAAGCTTCCACGGATTAGCTTCTTTCTACAGGAGGTTCATCCATAATTTTAGCTCAATTGCCGCACCACTTACAGACTGCACCAAAGAAGAGAAGTTTCAGTGGACAGAGCAAGCTCAGAAAAGCTTTGAGGAGCTTAAGAAGAAGTTGACCAAAGCTCCAGTCCTAGCTCTTCCTAATTTTGATCAAGTATTTAAAGTTAGCTGTGATGCTTCTAACACTGGCATTGGTGCTGTCTTAAGCCAGGAGGGCCATCCCATTGCCTTTTTTAGTGAGAAGCTCAATGATGCCAAGCTCAAATATTCTACCTATGACAAGGAATTCTATGCCATTGTCCGAGCTCTTCAATATTGGAGTCATTATCTCCTAAATAAAGAGTTCATACTTTTTTCGGACCATGAGGCTCTCAAGTATTTGAATTCCCAGCAGAAGATCAGCCGCAGACATGCTCGTTGGAGTGAACTCTTACAGTCTTATCCATTCCTTATCAAACATAAGGCTGGAACTCTGAACTCCGTAGCAGATGCCCTTAGTCGTTGCCATGTACTACTTACAACACTACAAACCAAGGTTGTTGGATTTGACCTTGTCAAAGAGTTATATCAAGATGATCCTGATTTCCGAGGAGTGTGGGAAGCAACTATAAATCAACCTTTCCACCAGTTCTACAGACACGACGGGTTTTTATTTTGAGGTAAAACCCTCTGTATTCCACAGGGTTCCTTGAGAGAAGCCATAATTTGGGAAGCACATGATGGTGGATTAGCTGGACATTTTGGACGAGATAAGACAATTAACCTAGTGAAGGAGAACTTTTACTGGCCTCGACTTGAACGGGATGTCAACAGGCATATACAGAGATGCAGAATTTGTCACTTGGCTAAATCCAAGGGTCAGAATACTGGACTATACATGCCTCTGCCAATTCTAGAAGCACCTTGGGAAGATATAACTATGGATTTTGTTCTGGGTTTACCACGGACTCAGAGGCAAAAAGATTCTGTCATGGTAGTTGTGGATCGCTTCTCAAAAATGGCCCATTTCATCCCATGCCAGAAGACCAACGATGCTGTTCAAGTAGCCGACTTGTATTTTAAGGAGATTGTGCGTCTTCATGGCATTCCTAGAACTATCACTTCTGACCGTGATGTGAAGTTTCTTAGCCACTTTTGGCGGACGTTATGGAAGAAGATGGGAACTAAGCTACAGTTTAGCAGCGCTAGTCACCCCCAGACAGACGGTCAAACTGAAGCTATAAATAGGATTCTTGGTAATCTTCTTCGTAGTTTCATAGGGAAGAATTTGAAGCAGTGGGATCTTATTCTTGCTCAAGTTGAGTTTGCTTATAACAACTCTGTCAACCAAGCAACTGGAAAGTGTCCGTTTGAAGTTGTTTATGGCACTCGTCCCCTTAGTCCACTAGACTTGACCCCTTCACTTGATAAGCAGCAATATAGCTCTGATGCTGACCAAAGGGCTAAGGAAATTAAGAAGTTGCATGAACAAGTTCGCGAGCGAATCCAAAAGCAGAATTTGAGATACAAGGCTCAACGTGACAAACATCGAAGACAGCAGACTTTTAAGGTAGGAGACTTGGTTTGGATACATCTACGAAAGGAACGATTTCCTAAACAACCAAATGCCAAGTTGTCCCCAAGAGCTGATGGTCCGTTCAAGATAGTGCAAAGGATCAACAACAACGCTTACAAAGTGGAATTACCCGGTTCTTATGGTGTATCTGCCACCTTCAATGTTGCTGATCTATCCCCTTACATTGACGATAATGCCGAATTTGACTCGAGGGCGAGTTCTGCTGAACCCGGGAAGGATGAAACGGACTGAAACGGACAACAGAACTAATACACGAGAGTTATAGAATTGAAGCCAAACGTGTTCCGTTACCCTTCATTAAGCCAATAAAACGTTTAGCATTTACATTTGTAACGTTAGCTGATTACTGTTTTCGTTCAGAGTCCTAACACTATAAATAGGACACTCACTTTGTTGTAAGGAGGCAGACTAGAAATAAAATTCAGAGTTTTCTCTTTTCATTCGGTTTCTGTGCCATTAAAATTCACAAAACACTTTGATCATAAAGATTTACATATATAAAAAAATTTAGAATTACTAACAATAATGATAATAAAGAAAATTAATTAAAATGTCTTTGTAAAATCAAGTTTTAATAAATAAAATTAATTTAAATCCACGTATATGAGATCACTTTGTAAGGAGAGATAGATTTTGTAATTTTAAAGTTTCATGCAATGTGTTAAAATGATACAATATAACTTTTTGAGATGATTGATGCCAATGCTCAGCAAGGCATCATCTTTCAAGTTTATAATTTGTTTAGTTAATTTCAAAAATCATCCAATTCTTATAAAATATTTCGTGGAATGTGCTTACAAAAATATGATGTCCATAATTATTATTCACAAAAAACGTGAAAGGAAAAAATAGTCATATACTTATAATTTGATGATTACTGTTGAAATTTTCAAAATAAAAATATAACCCGTGACACGTGGAAGTGGATCCCCTCCCACGGTGCCAACTGCATGCAATTTTTTTTTTCTTTTCTTTTTCCCCTTTTTTGGTTCTATATGCATTCAACGTTACACTCTTAATATAATATCACATGCCACATGTAGCCAGAAAAAAAAAATAAAAGACTATATCATATTATGTTTTCTATGTAACATACAAGTTGAATACTAATTTTTTTAAGCATTATACTTATTTATTTCAACACGTAATTATCTAACAAAAAGAAAATAACAGCTTGTTGGGTTATTTATATAGTCTTTAATGTTTCAATATATATTTTATTGAGCTTCACATAGATTCAAAAATATTTAAGATTGAACGGTGACCGATCCACATAGGTTCTTCGCAATTATTTTATTTTACTTCACATGTTGTATATCATATTGGAAAGATATGATAACTATTTTTCAAAAAGGAAAAAAGTTGTGCTTGTTTTGTGTCTGAACATCACTAGAAAATATTGAAGGATAAAAAAAAATGTCTAGGAAGCTCAATAAAATATTAGTTTTATTAATTAATGTGCAAATCCATAAAGGCACATCCATTTTGGCAGCAAATCCACTTTCCTCGCTATGAATGGAGCTTAATTTGTGCCAAACAAACAAAATGCTCCACAAGACAGCATTTCTAAATTTATTGGAAAAGAAATATTTTTTGGCCAACCAGAACTAATATTTTATTGAAAAGAAAAATTTTATGTTTAAAGAATTGTTAGAAAAGAAAATTTCACCCATACACAAATTTATTGAAAAAAGATAAAGTAGGAAAAGAAAATGCATGGTTGTTCATAGTAATATTGAGAAAACAATTAAAGAGGGGCAAAAAAATTATAGTAGCCAGAATATCATAATTTGATGAAAAAGTTACCTTGTAAATTATTATCATCAAGATATAGCTCTTGAAGCATATCCAATTTTCCAATACCTTGTGGTATATCACCTACAAAAAACGTTAACGCTTGAAGATATTGAATTTGAATTGGTCACAGGTATATCTATTGAGAATATTTCCCATGTATGTGATAAAGACACAAAAAAGATGGCATATTAGTCCTACGAGTGTCCATATATGATGAATCTTTTTTACCAAGCCTAACAACGCATGCAAATTATAAGCAACATATTGTGCAGTAGTTGTTTGAAAAATTTTACATGTTTTTAACGTAACTACAAAAGAAATTCTATAAATCATCTAAAGTGACAAATTGTCTAGCTAGCTAAAAGAGGATTACAAAGAACATTGGATTATTTTATCTTAACCAATTTAAAAAAAATTATTATCATCAATATGTCATTGAAAAATAATAGTTACAGAATTACCAAAAACATTAATTTTCTCAGGGGAAATTAATTTGAACAAGGAAGCAAACTTTTGCAAAGCTGTTTTTATCAATGCACAAAATGAGCTAACTTTAATAATTTGAATACCCGTAGAAGAGAGCACAAAGTTGGAAAGGCAAATCTTCAAAAAAAATCAATAAAACAGAAAAAATGTGTTTTGGATATATCAACAGACTTACCCATAAAAAGAGTAAATTATTTTTTCTTTTATTTTTAAATAGCCAAATAAATTTCATCACCTCCAAAATTAATATCATATACAGTTTATAAATTTTTTGTAGCTAAGTATAAATCATTAATGTCAAAAAGGTACCCAAGTACTTCAGAGGAATTATGGCATTTTGATAGACTTGATTATCATATTTATATTTTGATGGGATTTTATTGTCATTTTTCTAAGTTAATATGTTGTTAATAAGTTTTATTTTTATATATTTGTATTTGTAAGTTTTATATTTGCGTTTTGAAAGTTTAAATGAGCTGGATCTAGGGGCTCAACAAGAGTAGGACTAGCCTTCAAGCTCAAAACTTACTTATAAGTTTTATATTATTATAACCATCAATTATCTAATAACATTTCTCTCAAATCATAAAATTAGTAAATTACTTTTAAAAATATTGATGATAAAACTTAAAAATGAAAATTCAAATATATACTACAGTTCATGTATATATCTATATATATTTTTTTTAAAAAATATCTCACCCACCTTTGATTTTCATTTCAACCCCAGTTCAAAATAATGGAGGTAGCTTAATAATTTAGTTATCTTAATTAGAAATTGTTCTTTTTTCAATGCCATCCATAAAATTATTGAAAGTGAAAAGCCATCAGTTGGATAAATTAATTACACATTTTAAGATCAGTCGTCATATGTTTGATTTATTTTAGTGGCGGATCCATATATGATATAGCTTGAACTTTTTCTTTTGGTATTTTATACCAAATATTAATTTTTGTTCAAATAAAGCCCAATATATGCCATGCTACCACTCTAACCATTCTACAAAGCTCACTCAGAATTTGATTCCTTACTCGTTTATTCCTCTTAATTAAAATTCTAACGATGTTTATGGCCAATAAGAGAAAAATTGACAGTGTTGATAAGTAACAAAATTAGATAAACCAACGTTGAATTAGACTTTGGATCCATCTAGATTTTACTTTCTGTTTACATATAAACATTATGTATTCTTTGTATTTTTTGGGTCCATTTGTTAAAGATTAAAAAATAAGTCATCATTAGGTGATTTAGGGATTTTATAAAAGAATTATTTTGTAAAAATTTTATAAAAAGGAAATATTATTTTATATTTGGTTATAACAATAAAAAAGTAATTATTAATTAGTTATTTTGAATTTTATAATATCTTTCTTTATTTCTGATTTATAAAAAATTTATTATTTAATTATTTTAAAATTTTAGTATATCTTCTTGTATCCCACATTTTTAAAACATTCTCCCTCAAATTAGTTTCTTAGAATAATAAAAAATTTTCTTTTTATTCTAATTATTTTCAAAAATTTAAACATAGTTAAAATCAAAAAATAATTTTTTTTTCAAAAAAAGTTATTTTTTCATAAAGTAAGCTGAAACAAATAGGCCCTTTATCTTTTAAAATTCTTGTAATTAACTAAATGAAAACAACCAAATAGAATAAATAGTTTTGGATACGTAAAAATGTGATATATTTTAAAATATATAATCTAAATATTTAACCAAAAATTTAATTATAAAATATGATATACTTTAAAATATTTAATCTAAATATATTATGTCATTGAGATTTATGGGGGTTATAGTCAGTAGAACCTTTTAAAGAAAAGGTAAGGATACAATTGTGATGATAGAATTATCAACAAAATTTCAAAAGTTGTAAACTAACTTTTTATTTAATTTTGTGTGTGTAGCAATATAACAAAATAAAAAGTACAGTACTCCAAGTGTTGATATATATGTTTAAAAGTTGCATCTATGAATGATAGATTTGGTGATGGGCTTAGACTTCTATTACCTAATGCAGTCTCATTTTTGTTTGTATTTGAAGAGATACTAGGGTGGAAAACTTAAAAAAGACATACGGGCCAATATTTAGTTAAAATTATTTGTATTTCATTTTTAAATTAAATATAAATTATAAAATTTTCATTTAAATCCCAAGAAATTTTTGTAAAATTTAAAATTAAAACTTACAAAAATACTCATCTTTTTTAATAAAATACCCTTCCTTTATTAAAACTGGATTTAGTAAATACGCTTTTTTTTAGGCAAAAAAATATGCTTGATTTTTAATTTCATTTAAGTCCTTTGAAATAGGATGGGTGTCTTCACCATCACTTCCTTTGTCTCATCTACTAGTTAAAACTATTTGGCTGATCTCTCTTATGTTATTGCTAATTTTGTTTTTGCTTTGTTGCTTTCCTTGTTTTGTTGCTCTGTTGTCATTTGCAGTTTCAATTGTATTGTATTGGTTTATTTGCATTAGGAATATATTAGCAGTTGGGAAAAAAAAAAGTTCTTCAAAATTTAATGAAAGTTTACTTACAAGAGACCTACATGAAATTATCCTCTTTTATATTTGAAATTTTGTAACCAGTTGAGTTCTCAATGACATTATAAAATATTACAAATTATGTATAAAAATATAATCCAATTTTTGTTTTGTGAGAAAAAAAGTTTATTCTAGATTTATACATTTTGGGATATATAATTAATAGCATTTTGACGAAACCTATTAGCATCTATGTTCGTAATTTCAAGTTGCAAGAGACAAGGAGTGAGAAAAAAGAAATAATCCATAGTGAATTATAATTTGCATAAAATTATACCTTGTAAATTATTGAAACCAAGATCTAATTCCTGAAGCAAAACCAAACTTCCAATGCTTCTAGGTATGTAGCCAATGAGTTGATTATTAGCCAAGTACATAATTTTAAGTTTTTTAAGATTGGCAATTTCATTTGGAATATCTCCTGCATTATCGCAATAACAAATAAAAACACTGACATGAGCGCTTGTGTATATATTATAGAAAATCATAGAAATACAATATAACTTTATGGAGATAATCATGGACAACATATGTTGTATAAAAATTCATATAATTTTAAAAACCATTAAAAAAGTATCTCTTGCATTATGGCTCCAAGAACCCAAATCAAAGGGACAAAAACTAATAAAAGCATGCAAAATATTTGTTCCTGATGGTGCAGAGAATACTAAATGATGTTAATACACTATGTTGTGTTGAAAGCATAATGACAGAGTTACCAATATCACAACAAATTAAAATTATATATAATTTGTAGATTCATTTATTGCCCCCTACTCAACATAATCAATATATATAATCCTATTCCCCTCTCCAACAAAATCAATGTTGAATAAGATATTGTAAATAGCTTATTCCAAGACATTCTAACACGTACTACAATTTTTGAAATGATTTAGAGAAAATATATGAATTTATCTGATATTATTAAAGACACACCTATTAAGGAGTTGCATGACATCAACTCAAGTGAGGATAAGCCAGAAATAACTGGAGGTATTTTTCCAAAAATATCGTTCCTTGCTAAATGTAAAATCTTTAAACGTTGAAATCTTCCAATCTTAAGTGGAATAGATCCTTGGATAGAATTAAAATTCCAATCCAAGGTCTCTAATTTTGACATATTTGATGCCAACAGCAACTAATGATGACATAACCACAAGAAAATTCATGGTTTTCTAAATAGATTGGGCCCAATTTCACCTATTGTATTAGGAATTGTATTTTGGTTCAGTCCTCTACAACCTTGAAAACCAAACACTCAAAGATAGGAACATTTGAAGGAGTTTTAGGGCCTAAGGCAAAATTATTTTAGAGGTCTAATATACCATTACTTTAGCACTTCAAATTCTATAAAAATTAAAACAATCACAAATAAAGGGTAAAGGAGGAACAAACACACCTAATATATATGGCCATCTAAATTTGGATTTCTTTATTCTTTTAATAGAAGTGCAAAACTCCTATGAACAAATAAAAGGATTTGTGGACTTCATGATGACAAATGGAAAATCAAGTTATCAATCAAGCCGTGCCCATGGAAACGGCAAAGCAAGAGCTATATATTTTTTTAATAAGAAAATAATGGTAGAGCAAGAAATGATTTGGTTGACAGAAAAGAAGAGATGAAATGACAAAGTGATTGTGGTAGAATATATGCAGCCATAAATTTTTAATGAAGAGATAAAATTAACATTAATGCTTAGTAAAAAAATTAATTATTGGTTATTTAAGATAAAAGCAGGTAATAAACTCTTAATGAAAATATATAATTAACATTAATGCTTAATAAGAAAAAGACTGACTGATTATATAGGATATAAGTAAACATTTTTTAGGCCTAAGATGACATCCTTAATGGACTATTGTTACACATGGCCCTGCTGATAGAACCAATGAAATACCAAAAAAAAGTGATAATATTGCAAATGAATTAACGCTTAAAGGTATTGAATTCGAATTGGTCACAGGTATATCTATTGAGAATATTTCCCACATATGTGATAAAGACACATAAAAGATGGCATATTTATCCTACGAGCGTCCATAGATGGTGAATGTTTTTTACCAGGTCTAACAACACATGCAAATTATAAGCAACATATTGTGCAGTAATTGTTTGAAAAAGTTTACATGGTTTTAATGTAACTACAAAAGAAATTCTATATATAAGTAACTAGGTTGCTTTTCACGGAGGGGTTGGATTATCATTTTTTTTTTTTAGTTTGAGTTTGTGCATCACCCCTTGAATGATTGTCATTTTATTTAAAATAAAATTCAAGGAATCATTCTTCAAAACTGATGGCTTCCTAGAGATGCTATCACATGTAATTCCATATATACGTTAATCACACACAAGCACACATTAATATACGTGTGGGGAACTTTAGTTGGGTTTTAAATTATTTTGTGGAGAACTTGTGAGGTATTTTGTGGAGAACTTGTAAGGTTTTTTGTTACTTTTAGACATGTTTTAATTTTGATAGTTGACACAATTTAGACAATTGTTAGTTTTTCTAATAGTTAAATAGTTTTGTATAGTTGATAAATACTTGATAAACAATTGTAAATGAATTGAGCTGTCTGATTTGGCAATTTTTATGCACAGGAATGGTAATTTTGACAATTTTGACAATTATTAATTTTTTAATAGTTAAATAGCTTTGTATATTTGATAAATACTTGATAAACAATTGTAAATTAATTAAATTGTCTAATTTGGCAATTTTTATGCACAGGAAAGGGTAAAATCGATACAATAAATATAGTATAAAAAAATAAAATACTTTTTACATTGGTTATTACCATAACCATTGTAGAATATAATATTTTTTACATCGGTTATGGTAACAACCGGTGTTAAAAGTTGACTTTTAACACCGGTTGGGCTCGAAACCGGTGTTAAAAGTTAAAGCAATTTTTTTTATTTTCTTGTATATAATTTTCAATATCGGCTTTATAACTAATGTAAAAGCTTCAATTTTTACATCGGGTTTATAACCGATGTAAAAAGAGGGACTTTCTACACCTCCTGGAACAACATCGAATTGCTGTAAAAAGTCATTTTTGTACTAGTGCTAGGTCAATCAAGGCTTCTTGAACAAACACATTCCCTATTTGATAAGGAATGGTACATGCCCCCGGATCTCTACACTTTTAGAGGGAGTTGTGGCTTGAAGATAGCACTAATATTAAGACTCATTTGAACTGTTGCCAATGGTTTGAATCTACTTTTATTAGTGCACAACTCCTTCAAAAACTTTGCACACTTAGGCATGCTTTTTATCATGTCAACAAGTGGTATGTTTACTTCCACCTTCTTTAACATATCAAACACATCATGCCTATCTTCTTCTTACCCTTTCTTAGCAAATCTAGTCAAGGCCTAAGGGAATGGCATATCCCTTGGAATAGGGTCCCCAATTTGATATTCTTTTGGAGGTTCTCTTCTTCCCAACACCTCTTTCTCTTTAGGCTTGCTTGAATCATCCTCATTTTTCTTGGAAGAAGGGTGAACTGTGGCTGTTCTAGCACTGCCTTAGCCTTGATTTGAGCTCAATTTTGCCTCTTTTGCTTGAGCATGTAGGGCTGATCTTGCCCCATTTTCATCCTCAACTACAATCTCTTTAATAGAATCATCCTTACCATCAATTACTTGAGGACTTAGAGAGGTAGGAGGCATGTTCTTGAGGCTATGTGAGGCACTTGGATGCACATTTATCTTGCTGTCACAGCAAGTGGAATCACGTGGAGAATCAAGAGAAAGTGGGCTTCCTTTACAAATTTGAGAATTCCTTGAAATAACCTCATTAGGCTTGCTTCCACCATGGTTTGAGGCACTTGGAATGGATTCAAGAATTCTTCCACTCCTTAACTCAATTGCACTAAGGCTCTTTAGATTGATGACAGGTTGAGTTGGAAGGTTTCCACTTCCTTGAGCTTGGCTAATGCTATTTGAATTTCCAAATTGTTGCACCACCAAATTAGTGCTTTGTTGTTTTGATTCAAGATTATCCATCCTCTTTAGCAATATATCCATTTTCAATTCTGCTCTAGACACATAGGAATCAAACTTTTGGCCCATGGAAAACATAGCATCAACTATCCTCTCAAGGTAGGAATACATTTGTTTATCAACCCCACCATCTTGAATAGGGATCACTTGAGAATTCTTAGCTTGCACAATCTCTTGATTACCCTTGTAGCTAAAGTTAGGGTGTTGCCTCCAACTTGGGTTATAGGTGCTCCTATAGTTAGCCTCAAAATTATTCATTGCCCCTTGATTATGTTGATAATTGTAGGGCCTTTGTTGTTGATACATAGCCCCAACATCTTGAGCATGCATGCAATTAGAGGTGACATGCATTGTGGAATTGCATATACCACAAATAGAAACCACTAGAGCATTGGACATAGAAGCAATTTGAGCTTGTAGAGGATTGGAGATAGACATCTTGAAAAAATCCAATTGAGAGTAGATATCCTCCAATTGGGAATTAGCAATAGAAGATTAGCCAACTTGGTGAACACCCCTTGCATCTCTTGAGCTATATTATTGGTTATTATTTACAAGCTTCTCCAACAAGGCCCATGCATCATCCAGTGGAAGATCTAATAGAGAACTATTTGCAGCAGCATCTATGGTCTCTCTATCATGGATTTGCAACCCCACATGAAAATAATCAATGAGGAACTTCTTGCCCACATTCAAGTATGGACACTTTGCAAGTAACTCAAGAAACCTCATCCAATACTCATAAAGAGATTCTTGAGGCTATTGTTGAATCCCCATGATTTGCTTCCTTAGTTGAAAATACTTGGTCGCTGAACAATATTTCTCAAGAAAGCAATTTCACATTTCCACCCAAGAATTGATGGTCCTTGTGGCAAGAGTATTGAACCATGTGATTGCTTTATCCTCAAGAGTAAAATAAAAGACCTTGAGCATCAAATTCTCCAAGTTTGCTGTGGGAGGCTTCATGGTTGAACAAACCCTCTCAAGTATTTGAACATGCCTATTAGGATCCTCACCTACAAGGCCATGGAATTTTACCAAAGCATTAATCAATGAACGTTTGATTTCATACTCATTTTGTTCTTGTAAATTCAAAAACAAACCACTAGGTCTAAATGTGTCAGTAGGTGCTACCATCTCTCTAATACTCCTCCTAGCAGGTATTTCATGTTCATTAGCATGCAATTGATCAGCCATACTGTCAAAGATTGCAGAATTATCAACTATGGTGTTGGCAAGAGAAGAAGATGCTAAAAACTCTAAGTATTGATCTCTAAATTCAATATAATTTTCACCAAGTTCTTTACAAGTCCTACAAGACATATAAAGCTTAGAACACCACAGAAATAGCACTGGACTGAAGAAAAATAAAAAATTCAAAAATAGGCAAAATTTTGAAAACTGACAGAATTGAAACACACTGAAGTAGTATTTTTGTAAAAAATTTTTAAAAGTGAAAAAGACAAAATTAGCAAAAACTCAACTAAAAAATTGAAGCTAAAAAACTGAATTAAATTCATGAATTTTTATAAAAAAAATTTCCAAGTAGGGAGAGAGATATGCTTATCTAAAGTCAGCCCTGTCTGCCTGGAGTGTCACTGGGAGTCAGCAGTGGACCTTATGTGCTTGTTCAGTGCACAACTCTCTAGTCCTAAATCAAATTGAGCTGAATTTTTACCTAAAACATTAAACACATAGAAGGTTATACAGTCCAATTTTCAAGCAAAAATTCACAGTCAATTCTTCCCAGTATTTTTTCGAATTAGGGTCTTCTGCACTGGAAATTCCAGTGAACCCTGTTTCAGTCAAGCAAAAATTCAACCAACTTAATGGCCGAATTAGCAATTGTGTTCAATAGAAAAAATGTTTCTAAGGATGGTTTAAAGTACTTGAAGTTCAATTAAATCACTTCTTATTGCTTTGGTTTTTCATAAAATTGTGCTATTATCACATATTATAAATATCTTACTGACAAATGTCGATATATAACCCAGCAGTTGTATTATATATGCAAAGTTAAACTTATCTAATGTAAGTATATGAGGAGAAATGTAATTTCTGGTCATGTCTTTACTTGGTTATCTCAACTTATATTTCTTCATCCATATGTTGTTGAGAAATTTTTCCTAGACTTGCGTTGCCATTACCTATTTCACGAATGTTATTGGTTAGTTATTTTTAATAGGAGTATACAAAACTATTCATCATATTCTAGCAAGGGATTCATTTTCATTTTCTTGCCTAGGGAAATCGTCATATCCCTTTTGGCAATTTTGAAATTATGATCACAATTTTCTTTAAGAAAAAAGCATAAATGAGAATGAGAGAATCAAATTTTTTTTTTTGGGTCATAAGTATTCTCCTAGTGGAAGAAATTCTATTTGAAGTACAGCTGAGCACTCATTGTGGGCACCTATCTTAGTGGGGATTTCAACCTTAGTTTATGATGTTGTGAGAGACTAACTCCTTTTTCTAGACCCAACACCTCCATTGGTAGAAAATCATTTAAATTCAGGTATTTTTGTAAACATTTATTTTGCACGAGTTATAAAATTGGATATTAAAAGGTGAATTCTTATATAATAACGCCCATACTATTCAAATTCCCAAAAATCCATAACGTTGCCACTTGAAAAATTATGGAAATATAATTAATTTCCTCTTTGATTGCTACATCAATGAAACTCTAAAATGACATACGAGCATCTAATTCACATAATTTCAACATATCAATAATATTAATTGACTTTGGAGCATTGAAATTACTATAACATTACATTAGCAGCAAAACAAATTTATCGATGAACAATTATTTATTTGTTTATTTTTGTTAGTTTGTATGTGAAATTAATAAAATTATTTGCTTCTCCTTTCTCAATGTCAATTCAAACTCATGACAAGTGGGAGAGCTGTTATCTTGAAGGAGCCACAACACTCAAATGTGGAAATGTTATGAACAATTCTAATTTCAACAAACATTTTGTCCCACTTCCTCTATATATGCCAAGGGACACGAGTTTACTTGACTTGAAAATACAATACTCTTTAATTAAGAATTGTATAGAGACTAATGTGTCATAGTCAGATTCTATCAAAATAAAAATCTACATCATTGTGTAATTTTTTCCACAATATAGGTATATGAATTGTCATGACTAGGATAATTATGTATAAAATTAAATATGAATTGTCATCATTCATGACTCTTTTTTTTTTCCCTCTTTGGCCATATTAACGAGTTGTGTAGAAAGACAAGAAAGCACCACAATTCCTAGAACCTTTACATTATCAATGAAATGACTAAAATAAATATTCTTAAATGATTTTTATTCCATTGACCTATCATTGTGCCATTTCTTCACACTAGGGGCAGACCCTGTTATATTTAATTGGGCCCCTACCACTCGTTGCCATTAATTTCCTCTTTGATTTATTTTTTTTATAAATTTTCAATATTTATTATTTTCCCTCAAATCATCAAATATCTAATGGTTCAAAATTTTACGTAATTTATTATAAAAAAGACCTAGGTATTAAATTTATGTATTTAATTTTTTCAATGAAATAAGTAGAATTGGATTTTAAATAAAAATAGAAGATGCTAATGATAAAAGAGAGTTATAGATTAAGCAATGGGTTCAAAAACCATATATTTTTTTCTGAAAATATCATGTGATTTTATAAAAATACAATCTATATATAAGCTTAAATATTTGATTCTTTTAAGTTACAAAAAAAATTTAATTAGTAACAGATATTGATTTCACAAATATACTTGGCCTCCCTTGAGTTCATAAGTTGGTTCCGCCCTTGCCTTACACAACAAATATATGAATTCATATGAACTTAATTGACATATTAATTGTACTCAAACATCAACAAAGATATATTATTGTCCCATTTCCTCCGTGCCAAGCACTTATGAGTTTACTTGACTTGGAAATACACCACTCTTTGATTATAAAAATCAAATGTATTTTAAAAAGTATTTAGAGAATACGGTGTGACATAGTCAAATCCTTTAAAAAAAAATCAATATCACTGTGTATTGTTTTTCCACAGTATAGATATATGAGTTATCTTGACTATTGACTAATCGAAAAATTTATAAAATATGAATTGTCACTATTCACCTCTTTTTCTCTTTGGCCATATTAATGAATTGTGTAAAAAGACAAAAAAGACTGAAATTCATAGAAGCTTCACATTATCAATAAAATGATGACCAATATTAATATACATAAATTATTTTTATTCCATTAACCTATCATTGTGCCATTTTCTTTATGCAATGAATATATGAATTGATATGAATTACATTGATAGAAAGATTTATCTTTTATGAATTACACTAATAGAAAGATAACCATCTAGAATCCAACTCTCCTAAACTTTCATTTATATTAAAAAAGAAAGATAACCGCAATTTATAATTTTTTTGCAGTGTAATTTAACAATAACTTAGTAGTTGGGTGGAAGCATGGTTTTAGTTTAATTTTTGTTATTAAAAAATAGTTAAGAGGTTGATCATTAGTGTATTTTAAAAATAAATTTAAATATAATAAAAAATTGGACTTATAATATAACTTGGACCTCAACTTTGATTGAATTTAAAAGCAAATATAACGGTGCTTATACAAATTGATATCAATGCCAAGTCCAAGGAATAATAATAATAATAATAATAATAATAATAATAATAATAATAATAAAGTGAAAAATATAGGAGTTTTGTTGACTTGGTCTAGAACGCTGTTTCCATGTCTTATTAAATAGCATTATTCTAACACCTACCTATTTGCTTGTTTATTAGTGTACAGATATTAATGCGAAAATGATATTTAATTACTTGGTCAGGAAAGGATAATTAATTGAAGATGCAAACAAAACATAATTTAAGAATTTTTTTTGTCAAAGTATTTTCAGAATATTATTAATAAATAAATCTAGCATCTTAACAAACATGTATTTGCCTCACTTAGTTAATATATTCAGAAAAATGATAATGACAATATGTTTTATGTCTGTGTCTTTATACTTTTTTTCCTAAATTTCGTATTATTTTAAATGATTTATCAATTACCTGAAAAAATTTTCACAAGTCATAGAATAACTTATTTTTGGCTAATTTGTATTTGAAATATCTAACATTCATTTTACTTCAATAATAATATACAATCATAATCTGAATCCTTTTAATAAAATAATTGACAAGGAGTATTTATTTTCCATAAGGGGCTATATTATTTTAATAAAATAACTTATTTTTTATCCTTGTAACAATATATAAGTTGACATTGAATTAGTACAAGAGTAGAACGATGATATGAGATTCTTTTTCTTTGCCCATAACATTAATGAGCTGTGGGATATATGAGAAATTTCCTCACTCACAGAACCTCAAAGATTTAGCGATTATTTAAAACGACAATATAATGTTCTAATAAAACATTGATTTGAAAAATTATTGATGTAAAAGTATTTCATTTATGATTCGTACTTTACTTTTGGCTAATTTTTAAGTAACACAACACTTATTTACATCTAATTATATATAAAATAAAAATTTATAACAACAACAACAACAACAACAACAATAATTGTTAGAGAATGTGCAGCCTATTCAAATTCTCGTGAAAAAAAAAAATAATCCATACCATTGTGTCATTTGTTCAGCACTAGGTATGTATAATTTGTTTTTTCTTTTTTCACGTTATTTTTGTGAAAGATCTGAGTTTTTTGACTAAGAAAATTCATGACTTCTTCTTTTATTATTATTATTATTAGTGAGATGAAAACAAGTAAACATCCAAAATTAGAAAACCTCAATATTGTCAATCGCATGACCAAAATATTATTTGCATTAAATCACTGTGCCATTTTGGCCACGCAATGAGTATATTAATCATATTATTATTTGAAGTTAAAAAAAAAAGCTTATGTCCACTTCGTCCATCAATTTTGTTTTGTTTTGTTTTTTAGATAAAAAAAACATTCTATTTGTCTTGTTCCAACCCATTTCATTACAACTTATAAGCACTTCATCTTCCATGTGTAGAATACATAAGCTAAATTAACACTGTGAATCATTAGGTCTGAAATTTTAATGAGGCTTTGGCCATTGGGCTTCAGCACTACTAGGTTTTTCTTCAATATGATAAACAAAGGATTGTGCAAAGGAAATCAATGCCTTCAATGGTTCGAGCTTAGAAATATAACCCGAAAAAAAAAAAGAATCATATTAAAAAAAAGAAAAAGAAAAAGAAAATTCATTTGGTATCTAACAGACAAAAAATAACCTATGTACGTTTTTAGAATTTCCTTAGGTGTTAAATTTGTGATCTGTCCACGCAATTTAGAATATGATTTTGATCTACACACATTAATTCCAAACCAATTATATCTTCGAGCTTTAAAACGTTGCCCAAAATTAGACCACTATACTTGGGCTTAATTATGTATTTGTCACATGTTTTTTAATATTTATATATGTTCAGTCCACTGTATCATTAAGCCTTAAAACATAATCTTTAGGGATCAAAATTCCCTTGTTTGGATCAATTCATATTTTCAGTACATGATTAGGATTTCACTGTTAAATACTTAAACATGCCTTATACATTCCTCAATCAATTATATCAATCTCTTGATTTCTTTTGACATTAGCTTAAATTTTGCACACCTTGAAACAAGTGGTTTTATAATTCTACAAAAAATTATAACCGTTCTGTTATAAAACCCAAGGCACATCGCTCAAGACATTGCATGAATAGAAGAATTATAAAATATTATGTGA